GTGGCATACAAAGGAAGCTGGCTGCACAACCAACCAACCAAAAGATTAAAACCAAATCTCTCCACGTAACTGAAAAATGGCACTAGCAGAAGATGGAAACAAGAACGAAACAAAGGAAAAACAGATGAAGTTGTAGTAAGTAAGAAAAAGATGCCCAAAGATCAAGGACTGGAAGAAGATAAGCAGGGACCAGAAGAGGATCTTCTGAAATTTGATCTAATCACATACAGTAACAGAACACAAAGAGAAACCTTCAGTTATTGTTTTATTACAGCTGTACTGAAGAGATGAAAAAAGGATAAAAAAGTATAATCCAACAGTCTGCTAACAGCACAGACTCGACACAGCAGACAACCGCACGCAGATTGCATAATGTTCTGGAATAGTCACATTGGTGAAATTATCAGCTTGATCTTAAAAGATAACGAGCAAAATCTGGGTCAATTAAAATTCTCAGCACCATTAAGTATGGTGAATAAAAAAAAACATGAATGAACAAAAAAATTAAGATTGCCTCTTCCACTGTCTCTGCAGAGCTCTTTGCAGCAAAGCCACTTAAGGTACTGCTCAGCCACAGCTCTCCCAGATACCAGCTTGTTGTATATCTTGCTGGAAGCTTTGATTTTTTAATGTTGTTTCCGGTGTGAGAGAAGGTATGTAAAAACTCCAGGGCACAGCAGCAGCTGTAGAGGTGCTGTGTATCTCACCCCTGCCTGAGCCAGACCCTACACCACAGGGTAAGACTTCCAAACCTTCAAACCCCAGCAAGATCAGCTTGTTTCTCAGTTCACTGCTACCTCTGAAAAACCACAGGGCTACTTAGATGACCTCAGATACACACATTAACTTCAATGGCAACTAACAAATCCAAACAGCAAGCAAACAAGCAATTTTCAGATCACCTACTTACAAATCAGTAAGAGGAAAGACTTACTTTTTTAATCTTTGTCATAAATTTTGCTTGAACCAGCAGGCTTTACATGTCAAGCCAAAATTTTAAGTATGCCTAAATATTGTAACTAATTCCATTTGCAATATTAAATTAGGTCCTTTAATGAACTAAATGAACATCTTGAGTTCATGCTTAGAAATTCCCCTGGAAGAGTTTAGTAACATCATAAGCACTACCAACACTCTGGGGACAGAGGAACAGGGAGGGGTTGAGAAATAGAAGATTTAAAAAAAAAAGAAAAATTAATAGAACAACAGGAACTAAAGGAAACATAGGGGAAAAAATGCCAGAAATGAATGATTTAAAAGATGAAGTATTTGCTAGCTTCCCTGTCTTTCCTACCAATATTATAACAAAGAAAAACCTCAAGTCCTGTTTTGGACACAATTCTCAGAGTTATCTGAATGTCTTACTGCATAGTGTCATTATCAGACATTACTCTAACTGAACTTCCTTCACTACACTTACAATATTCAAATGTACTTACACTTTACACCAGATTCTGTCACAAAAGTCTTCCTGTTGCCTAACTGCCTGAACAAAATTCGGTCTCTGGTGTCTTGAAATATGATCTGTCTCAGTCCCACTAAGGCTGAATTGGTATCGATTGTTAAAAAACAAGAGGTACGGGAGGCTGAATCCCCCTCCCAGGAACTGAGCGAGGTCAGGTATTTTGGCAGTTTGAGTCTGCCACAGGCTCTTAGACTTCCTGAAGCCTCAGCAAAGCCCCTGAATAACTGCCCTTTGTTTTTACACCTCTGACAAATAGTGCCAAATAACACATTTGAATTCTGTATGTCATGTACTAACCCTTACTCATATGCTTAATAAAAGTACACTTACTCTGCTTTTTAATGCTGCTTTTTCTGCTGTCAATAAACCATCTTCCCTTTAGATTCTTAAAACAGTAATGAATTTATTGTATTGTTTAAATGCCTAATATTACTATAAGACAAAATTGTTAATTTGCCACACCTAGTTCACCAACTCCTCATTCATGACTGGTTTAATTTTCAGAAATGTTTCCTTGCATTTTCCAGCCCAAAAGAGACATACAAAAAGCAAAAGACCCTTTGTATCACGTAACACACAATTATTTTCTGGCAAACTTAAAGCAGACAGTTTCAACTTCTCATTTGGTAAGGCTGATATATATAAACAAGGAAACAAATCTATTAAAATCCAGGTTGAATTTGAGATTTTTTACTCTATTAGACTACTCCTAAGAGAATTCTTTTTATGGATTTTTTTTTAATTATGCCAGAATTAGAACTAAATGGTTTACAAGAAAGCCCTCCTCAGCACTTGATACTGTTAATCAACAAGGCTTTTTTTTTTTTCTTTTAAATTTCTTCAGAGATGAGAAGATAAGAATTTTCAAAGGCAACCTTCAAAAACATGTGTTTTATTTCTCTCTCTAGGGCTGCTTAGGCACAGGTGTTTCTCAGTGGGAGCTGCTACTGTACTACATATTTTTAACCAAATGCCCACTCTAATGATGTAGATTAAGCCAGAAAAGAAGCAACTTAAAGGGAATTCAGCTGACGTAAAAAACAGGTTCTTCTCAGACAGATGGTGGAAATAAGAACAAAGGAAATGCAGATGATAGAATAATGGCTGATAGCAACAAAATATATAATGTCATGAAGTCTTCCTAACTGCTTTGAAACTCTCTATGGCATTGTACTGTATATTAGTGATTGTTAGTTTCTACCATACCAGAAAAGACTACTGAACTACAGGCAGGAAACAAGCTATATCAAAATAGTAACCATGGCAAAATCTTAACCAAAGTATCCTTCCCTGTGAGGACAGGCAGAGATCTGGGTTGTTCAGCCTGGAGAAGACTCCAGGGAGACCTTGGAGCAGCCTTCCAGTGCTTAAAGAGGGCTACAGGAAAGATGGGATAGGATGAGGGGTAACGGCTTAAAACTGAAAGAGGGAAGATTTAAATTAGATGTAAGGAAGAAATTCTTCCCTGTGCGGGGGGTGAGGCGCTGGCCCAGGGTGCCCAGAGCAGCTGTGGCTGCCCCCTCCCTGGAAGGGTTCCAGGCCAGGCTGGACGGGGCTGGGAGCAACCTGGGCTGGGGGAAGGTGTCCCTGCCCATGGCAGGGGGGTTGGAACTAGATGGTCTTTACGGTCCTTTCCAACCCAAACCATGCTATGATTCTGTGATCATTTGATACTTTACTTATCACTTCTCAGTGCTTCTCACCACTGAAAATAAATTCTCAACCCCCAGCAGTCAGAGCTGGATCCTGATTACCTCTGTGTGTAGGAAATGACACATACCTCCCAAATCCAGGGGAATACATGTGGACATAATTATTTTTATTCTTCTGATTTTACAGTTCCACGGGCAACTCTCCATTGGTTTATTGATCTCCAGTAGTCTGCTCAGTATAAGCTGGTTAATGCTGACAGACAGATCGAAAGTAATGAAAAACTTGCTACCAATTCATTCATACCATAATCCATGCTAAGTATATGTCCTGAGGGGGCTGTAGAACAAAACACCAGGAGCTTTCACACTTTGTAAACAAGTTTCTCTCCATTCATTAATAGAGGTATTGGGTAGTAGATTCCAAAGTTTAACTCAAAGTTTCCTCACATGTGAAAGTTGTTAAGGCATCTAGTATTGTCCAGAAAGCAATAGCTTTGCATGAACAAAATTAATATTATGCACTCTTATTCAACCATCAACATTCAATTGTGCTTTATCTTCCCTCCTAGGCACTGCCTACTTCAAACAGATTACACTAAATAGTGATGAAACATGCAAGTAGCTGCAAGAAACTAGGCAGTCACTGGCTATACACAGGTAAAACGGCGACACCCAGTGGGAACACTGCTACATAAAATATCTGCATTAAGAAGCATGAAGAAATGTTATCTTCTCCTCTCTTTTAATAACAGAACTGCTACCTAACTTGGGGATCTGTAGATGAGCTTTGGGAAAGAAAGAAATGCATCTCAGTTACAGAAAAATAATGTTGCATCCAACTGTACTTCTCCAGAATGGCTTTAAAGAATTCTTACTTTGCTTTATCCTGCTAAGGCTTAGCCCCAGATATTTTTTATTCTATTACAATCTCTCCAATGCAAAAGGCAACTAGGTATTAACTTCCCATCCATCCTCTACAGAATCTCCCCCTTTAAAATAAGAAGTTATATCCATTTTGTTCCATGGAGTTGAAGTCAAGAAGCGAAATTGGGTTAGGTTTCAACACACTGACACTTGAAAAATTAAATTTTAATGTGCCTTACTATCACCAATGTTTTCAGCCAATCAAGTGCTCGACCCTTGAAAGGTACGATCAAATTTTACTTCTGATATTTTTCACAAATTATATTACAATACTATGAAAACCTTTATTACTCCATAAATGTAGCAGTCTTTTTGAACCATCATCAGAAGTGTACAATTGTCCAACAAATGGCTTTAAACTGTAATGAAGCTCACAGGAGTATGAACTAGAAATGTTGGAAGGCCAACACAACAAGACACAGGCTGTGTAAGACAACAGTTTCTAAATTGAACACTGTTGTATTGTTTGTTTAGGGCCCCAAGAAACCAGAGAACAGCAGCAGCACGTAAGTGCAAACAAGACACCTCCTCTTCTCTCCTTTCACTTCCCCAAAACTAGAGATGTTTTTTTGGAAGGAATAAGGCTCTGCTCACCTGCACAGATTACTAGAATGTGGGTTGATCATGCTTTTCAGCTTTAACAGGCAATACTGTACCTGTCAAGTGTCAGGCAAGCACCAACCACAACAAACTAGTGGTTATGTGAAAATGGATGAACATTTTACAATATAAGCTTATACTTGTTACATGTATTTTTCCCCTTCTCAAAATGTAAAGTGTCAACAGACTGTATTCCGTCATCTCAAAATACAGTTCAGGGAATATACCCTTAGTAACTCCTCTGACCTTTTATGAATCATGTATCTTGTATAGTACCTACAGTTCATTTAGACCAGAGTAAAGGGTATTAAGACATATATGAGTGTTCAAGCATAAACTCACAAAAACAAATTCAAGCGTAAGTTTCATCTTGCATTTATTTAGTTTTGACAGTAGGCACAATATACTTTTACTTTCCAAGCTGAGAGACACGAATAAATCCAGTTCTGAAGAATCTACATCAAAACCAACATACACATAAAGACACACAGGATGCAGTTGTAAAAGAAAAGGTAGATACATTCATTTATTTTTTCTGATAGGTAAAGCTATTCCCAGATTCTAAAGGTCAACATAGCCAATCTGTTTTCCACAGATACTGTAGCACAATTAAAACCCTCCTGGACAACAGGCCTTCCAGCTGAGCTCACCACAGGCAAGCCAAATACCAACCCTGAAGAAACCTCACCTGGGCCAGAGCGCATACAGAAATCACATGATTTGAGCCCAAAAAGCCCAATGACTTTAAGGGACAGGCCCTGGATACAGGCTGGCATCACCATCTCCCAGGGACAGCAGAGGTGAGCATCTGACGCTTCAGGAGCATGAGAGTCTCCTCTCCCACCTCATCTTCCTAGAGAGGGGAACCAGTTCCCTCCAGGTACAAGCAACAAGCCAGCAACCCTCCAGCAGGCCAAGCCTTGCCTGGAGGCTCCCTCCCAGGCTCCCTGGCAGAACCCAAAGCTACAGGACACCGGCCCACGACTTTGACTCTTCTAGCTCACAGAACCAAATACCCTCACAACTGTATCCTTCAGTTTCCCTGTTGCATTGGAACAGCTGTAAGGATGAACTAAATTTATACTCAAAACATGTAATGCAACATGTACTGTAGCATTATAAAAGGAATACGCATTACTAGTGGAACTCTCACACAAAGTATACTAACAAAAAAATTGGGAGTCATTTTCTTAAATATGGCACATTATTTCATATCCAATATATGTAAACATCTGACACCCATTAATTGGAGAGCAGTTTCTCTGGTTACAGATGAATGCCTGAACTCATAAACTTAGAGCAAGTATCATTCTGCACTTTCCTCTATTCCTCATAACCATGTCTTCAAAACTGCAGATGTTCTCTAACTGCTAAATGTCTCCCAAAGCACATTTTAATTCTAAACACATAGGATACTAAAGAGCCAAAGCACAGCATGTGCTTATCACATTTTTTTTTTTAAAAAAAAAAAAAGGCAGTTGTCTTTTCAAACTGTGATTTTTACAAGAATAAACAACGGCCAAAACTTTTACTGATCTACAGGTGGAAAAAAAAAATTAAAACAAATCACATAAAAAAGCAAGATATTGCTTAATTATTGGATTAAAGAAACCCAATGCTTAAACTCCCTTCATGTAATACACAAAGAACAATAAATTTCAAGGTTTAAGCAAATTTACCTCTTTCCTGCAAATAACAACTTAGGAAAAAAATGTTTGATGTGAATGACTACTTAAAAAAAACCTCTCTGCATATGAATGATATGCCCATTTGTTTTCTATCATTCTAGCTAAACAATAATCTCAAACTGCTGACCGTTCAGAATGACAGGAACAAAATCCCACACAGGCTAATCCTAAAACTGCATCCATAGCACCACTGCCAAAACAGACTATGTTTCTTACTCAGACTACATTTCCTGAACGTGCTCCCAGGTACAGACAAATACCTTGAGATATCACTACTTCCAACCTGGATGGTAACCATCACCTCACAATTGCAGGTTCTCTACAGACTGGAACACTCTATTGTTATTTCTACATTCTGGGTGGTGAGAAGACCTCTGTATATACCGATATCACTGGCATGTTATGTACAACGTGGCACCTTCAAAAGAGACCCAATTCTGCTTCCTTGGAGAGATGCAAAGATTTTTATTCCATAAATTCACTTTTCCTGCATTTCTGCAAAAGAAAAACATGGTTAAACCAGGCAGAATTGTTTTAGCTGCTAAATAAAATAATTACTATTACATGGTGTAAATAGTACTTCATGATGTAAACTTCTGTGAATGTGCTATTAATACGTAGCCTTTTATTAGTATAAAGAAGAGAAAACCCAAATGCAACAGTTATGACGACATGCATGTTTTAGTCTATACGACAGAACAGCAGTTTAAAAGTGTGATATGTGTTCTTAAAATGGGTGAAGAGCAACTGCTCTACAATGTGTTATTTCAGTATATGGATTATAAAACTATTTGATAAGTTAAATCCACACAAACTACCTAGTCATCTGTCTTCCTTTCACCAAGTCAGACCCTTTCCTCAGTGACAAGAGATATATTTAGAGCTTCATTTGACTCAGTATACAACTGTATATGTTCTCTTTTATTTAAGATACTTCAACTAAATATATTAGAACAGCATATGGAAACTGACTAAAGGTATTCAACATTTGACAACACAGAACAGGAGGAAATCACAGTGGAAGTACTGCTAAAACAGCAAGAAGACTCGAAAAGCTGTGAAATAACTTTCTCCTATTTTTTTTTCCCAGTGATTCCAACGGTAAAATTTATCAGCCTGAAAACACCATCATGACATTCCAGTTTACTACAATAAAATAATAAGTCACACTTTAGTGCCTAACTAGGAAATCCTGAGTTCTTTAATTCTGGGGGAAGAAAGAGAACAAAAAATCAGGACAATGGATGCCTCTAGGCATAAGGAAAAAAAATAATGAAACTATTCCCAGGAACTGTTTACCAATCTAGAAGAACAGCTTCCTTCTGCATTCACTCTCCTCCAACACACAGTAAAAAAAATGCTTTTGTTAGCGAGTGCTCAGGTCATGTCGCGACAGCCTCGGAGGTTCTACCGGCGAGCCTAACTCAGGCCTTCCCGGTACCGGAGGCGCCGCCGCCGGGCAGGGCCAAGCCCCCGGGCACAGCCCGTCTGACGGGGTCACCGCTCCCGGCCCCCGGGCGACGCTCCGGGGCCCCGGGCAAGCGGCGGAGCTGCGGGAGCCGCCAGCAAGGCGAGCGCTCCCTCCAGGAGAAGGAGCTCGGGCCGGGCCGGGCCGGGCCAGGCCCCCCCCGGCCGCCGCGGCCTCCCGAGGGCCGGGCGGGCGGCGCCGGGCCCGGGCCCGCCCCGCTCCCACCCGCCGCCACCGTTCCCCTCCCAGCCCGTTACCTTCCCAGCAGAGGTCGCCGCCCTGCCGCCGGAGGAACTTGTACCAGAAGGGGCTGGCGGCGGCCTCGTCGGGCAGCGCCACCTCCGCCAGCCACAGCGCGGGCTCCTGGGCCGGCAGCGGGGCGCTCGGCCGCGCCGGCTTCATGGGCACGGCGCGCTGCGGGTCCCACCCGCCCAGCTCCGGCCGCGAGCCGGCCACCAGCAGCGCCCCGCCGCCCGCCGTCATGCGGGACGGCAGCACCACGCCGAAACGGAACAGCATGGCGGACCGGCGGCGGCCGCCCGGCCCGGCCCGCCGTTCTCCCTGGGCCCCGCCTCCTCCGGGCCCGCGCTTCCGGCAGCGCCCCGCCCGCTGCGGGCGGTTCCAGCGCGGGCACTGCCCCCCCCCACAGTGCCGGCGGGGGGAAGGGTTAGGGCCTCCTAAAGTTCGGAGTGGGACGGGCAGTCATCTCTGCGGGTAAATACGAGGCTTCTAGGTTGCGGAAGGCTGCACGTTACGCATACCGGCTTTAGCAAGGGAGCGCATATCGCTCGGTTAAACGAAGCTGCTGCAATTACTCCCGGCGCCCCGGGCTTCATTTCCTGCAGCGAACGTGGTATAGGTAGATTAAGGCCAATCACATCCAAATATGGATTAATGAATCTTTATTAAAGTAAGAGAGCAAATGCAGCGCTGCGGTGGCCGAGGAGTCGCAGCTCCGTCCAGGCTCACCAAATTGTTTACGTTTCAAACCCCCTTTTATCCGCCCAGCTGCCGGTTTCAACACCTCGGCACGCCTCCTGGCTGCTTCTACAATCTTCTTTCTTCAGTCCTGTGGTCTCGTACACCTTGTCCTTCAAGCCTGGGCCAATTTGCAGCTCCTTTGTCTTTTATGGCTCAGTGGTTTCAGTTCCTCTCTTACCTCAAGGACAAGGGATACCAGAGATGGCCCATTCTGTTCTTTCTCAATCCATTGCAAAGGAGTTACCACCCTTTGATACGGATCATCTGGTGAGCAACCCAAGAGGGGGGGCTGTTGGGTTGGTGTTTCCTCAGATCAATTCCCCCCTTTTCCCAGTAGTAAAGTCTTTTACTTTTCTTAAAATTTGGATTATTGTACTAATAATAGCTTTAGCCTAAGAAGTAAATTTTTAATTACTTTTAGCGAAAGCAAAATTCTTCTATTACTTATCACAGAACACGTCCTTAAGTAACGGCCGCACGCGCGTGCAGCGCTACGAACACGCTCAGAGGGCACCGGGGCGCCCGTGGTGTTCGTGTCTTCCCTGCAGGCAGGCAGCCAGTCACGGTGAGACCAGGAACGTGAAATAGGGTGGGAGTCGGAAAGGTTTTTTTAAAAATTCTGTAGCTCCCAGCTGGATGCGTTCTGTTTTGCCCTTCTGCCTGTGATTTGGCAGCTCCTACATGTGGCGATATTCAGGGATTTCAAAGAATGAGTGAGAAAGAGGATGCGATCCAGCTATTCATAGGGCAGCCCTTGTCTGAATACACCCGTTCCAGAAGCGTTTAAGGACAGAAACAGAGGAGTGGTAACTTTATTTAGGTCAAGTTCTGGGAACAGGATGAAGGCCTTTCAGTGACTCAAATCCTGCCTCAAAAGATGGCCTGTTGTTTCCTGTGTTCAGGAGTGATGACACACTGAAGTGTATGTACTGCCAAATTTATTTTTAAGAGTGCTTTAGCTCATTTTCACTGATCCTCATTGAACTTGTGTAAGTGATGTGCCACCGCTTTTCCAGACGTACCCAAAGCTAAGGGAATTCTGGCTGTCCTCCCTGCATTTCTGCTAGCACCAGCCCTCACTGCTGCCTTTGCGAAACGGAGTGCATTACATTTTAATCTTTGCTTTTGCTCAGCCTTACAGTCGAGTCACCCATAACCTGTCTCATCATTATCTTTCAAATATCTACCCCATACACTTAATTTTAGTAGTATAGGTAAAACAGGATATAACAAAGGGGGTTTATGGCCAAAGTTCAAGCTTGACAGTAGCCCTAAAAGCATGCCAGCATATTGTGTCCACATAAAACCATATGCTTCTGTTCATTCCAGTCACAGTCCAAGCTAAGAAACTGCAGGATCCAACAATACATCCGATGGATAGTTTAGTTCCTGGCTGTTGCCTAAGCCTCAATGTAAAAAGACACCAGCAACACGTGGGCCATGTGCCTTTAGGCAAACTTTAACTTCTTCATGCCTGTAAGTACCGAGTCCTCATCTGTAAGCCACAGGGAACAATAACAAAAATTGTTCTTTAGATTCTGATGTACCAAATACTAGCTTTAAAAATACTTAAGTCCATTTCTTGTCCAGGCTCTGCCTTGATCCGTTTTGGTGCTGTCAATATTGGGTGTTAGATTAAGGTTAAAGATGACAGAAAGTGACAAGCTTGACTTCCTGCTCTTTCCTCAAAAACTCTAGTTCAGATTAGGGTTAGCGTTGAGAGATCAAACAAGAAAGGCTTATTTATTGCTGGGTCCTGCAAGACTGGGGTAAAAACTAGAACTGGAGATTGGCTTGGGACTCAGAAGTCCCATGGCTTCGGGATAGTGGGAACAGAAAAGCAATTTTTACTGATATAATTGTGGACTGAGTGAGGGCTGTAGACGGGGCAAAATGGATTATTGTTAGATCTGAGACCGGTGAGCTTTGGCTACCATAATGTTTGGGTTTAAGCTCAGAAGCAAAGGTAAATGTGTGGTTTTGCCATTACTAGATTTGCATGGTGTATCGATGCGTCATCTCCTGAATTGGAATTTTAGCTAAAGGTGAGGTGGGGGGGAGGGTGGATATTACTTTCACTATTATTGTTTGGGATTGCAGGAGTTGATGAAGTACTTCTACTATTGGGAAAACCCTAAATTTTATTTTTAAGTGTCACCCCAAGCCCCCTAAGGAATTAACAGTAAACTAGTTTCATTTGCCAAAATGAACCCTTATCCTGGTACTGCATGACCAGTGCTCTTCCCCTGCCGTCCTCAACACTATTCTCAAACCTGAAAGCCTTCCCTAAAATCCAGTCACCTTTTACAACCACAAAATTAAACATGACCATTTTCTTTCTTTTTCTCCTACATTAAGTCCTTATTCCAACTTGGCAAGCCTTACAGGTCCCATCAAAAAGCTTTGGTATAAAGGAGCCAAAACCCTAATAAGTTGCTTTTAACTGTCCCAGAAACTATGGTTAACTGTTCATTCCTGTGGGAACAAGCTACCATCTTAGTGGTCCGTCTGAATTGTAATAAATAACTTTGTGTCCTTAACAGCTGTTTAGGATCTAGCAGTATACTTAACCTGTATCATCTACTGAGTGGAAGCCTTGATTTACCTCAAATCTAACAGTAAACTAGCAACACAGGGATGCTTAGTGCCTAATTCATTTTAAAGCCCTCGATTTATTGTGGCTGGTACCATCCCAGGTGTTTGTCAATGCTGACTGTGTTTCTAACTGACTAAATGGGAAGAATTGTATGAAAAAATATTATTTTTCCACGGCATTAGTATCCAAAAAGGGGCTCTAGCGATCACAATCTCTGCAAGAATCAACTGTTTCATGGGATTTCTCCTAAATTGAACCGATAGGCCTAGCCTCGTGTAGTTTCTAGTTAATTAACCTTTATGACTGGTTTATTATCCAAAATGTGTGCAGGTGGTAGAGATTTCACAGGAGGAATCATCAAGGCTGTGTGATTCAGCTTAACATCAACAGTTACGTCTTCAGTTTCTGCTTAACTGTTGTAGCTAAAAGGTTTGTAAGGAAAAGCTTGAATGGCCAGAAATTGGAGCTGTGATTATATTTACGTACATGTAAAGCATGTTCAAAGGCATCTTCTGTTGCTGTGCACTAGACTTTTGCAGAATAACTTTCTACATAGGGCCCTACTGAAAGACTGATGCTGAGATTCTGTGTTCATACAAATCTGACTGCTGTGGATGATTAACCAGTCAGGAAATACATGTTTATGGGTTTTTTTTATGCTATAAAAGACCCTCTAATTTCTTATACTGTTTCTTCCTGGCATAAAATTGTTCTGCTATTTTTGTGAAATCAGAGTTTTGAACCATTTGTTACATTCAGGAAATTTGGACAGATTATCACTGGCTGAAATTATAATTGAGCCACCAATTAATAAGTTTGACAGTATACAGCAGTCCAAAATTAAACTTTCGAAGTGGAAAATCTTTCTTCACAGTTTTCTTATTCGAAAGTGTTTATTAGGTATAGAAATAGCACACAGTTGTCTGAACAATGTGAACACTACTAAAATGACAGATGAACTTAATACTTCCATGTTGGAGTAGCCCCTGTCTGTAGTGTACATGTTCTTTACTGATTACAAACTTTTACACCATGGGCCAGTTTTCTGCTTGGCACAGCTTTATCCGTTGTTGCTGTACAGTGATCACAAAGGATAATATTTCCAAGTAGGGAAATCTGTAGTGAAGACACAGTTTAAAAAAAACAAACAAACAAACAAACAAACAAAAAAAAAAAAACACACCAAAACACAAATACTGAAAGGATTTAGTTGGAGAAGGAAGGGAAGGGGCAGGGGCCATCCCTGATTGCAAGTTGTGGGTGATGTTTAGATTAGCTGTGCTCCTTCCTAGACTAGCCCTTCTTCCCTTTTTAGGTCATTTACTTTCCTATAAAGATACAGAGAAAGTATTACTGCCATTTCCAAATGTTTGGGCTAATTATAGAAAAGAGAAATGCAACACACTGTACAGTCTTGCTTGTAAAAGGGAAAACATTTATGTGGTAAGCTGATTTAAATGTATTAGTGATTTGGGTAAAAAGTTCATTGCTGGAAAATTTAGGCAGCCTGTATTTCTTCAAAGAGATTGAACTAAATATAAAAATAACTAGTCTAATGCAAGTAATTTAAAACCACTATTTTAAGAGAAAGTTGATTATGTTGATTAATAATCTAAACTAATCAGTGATCTCTGGATCCAAACCTTCTAATTGAATTCTAGCTGTCTTTCTTGTGATAATTCTGACAGAAGTATGAACTAATGCTTTCACACTATAGCAGCTAAGAAAAGAGAAGCTGAGCTTTTACCTTTATAGTCTGAAGACTGACAGAAGACTATACAATTTAAGAACCTGTTATCAGATAAGCACAGCTATTCTTGTTTTTTAGTTCTAGGTGCTGTGTCAGAGCAGTGATAACTGAAGTAACTGTTTTAGCTACTTAATGCTAGTAGCAGCCTTTTATGCCAACTAAAGAAATTCTGGCATGACTGACCATTTTTGGAGTTGTGTTGGAAAATTAACTTGTAGTAATAGGTACGATGCTACAGAT